GATCCTTCCACCTCAGCCTTCCAAGTAGCTGGAACTGCAGATGTGTGCTACCATACCTGGCTAATTTTTTTTTTTTTTTTTTTTGTGGAGTCGAGGTTTTGCAAAGTTGCCTAGGCTGATATTGAACCCCTGGGCTCAGACAATTCTCTCGCCTTGGCCTCCCAAGGTACTGGGATTATAGGCATGAGCCACTATGCCTGGCAAATCAAACTACTTCTGGCTTTGTTTCCTAATCTATAAATTGCTGACTGTGAGGATTATATAAGATAATAACCATAAAACTTTTTTTTTTGAGTTGGTGTCTCTCTCTGTTGCCCAGGCTGTAGTGCAGCCTCAACCTGCTGGGCTCATATGATCCTTCTACCTCATCCTTCTAAGTAGCTGGAACTACAGGTATGTGCCATCACACCCAACTAATTTTTTGATTGATTGTAGAGATGAGGTCTTGCCTAGTTGCCCAGGAGGGTTTTGAGCCCCTGGGTTCAGGCAATCCTCTTGCCTCTGTCTCCCAAAGTGCTGGGATTACAGGTGTGAGCCACTGTCGGGCTTAAACAAAAAACTTTTTTTTTTTTTGAGTTGGAGTCTCACTCTGTTGCGTGGGCTGGAGTGATGTGGCACACTCACTCTAAAACTTTTTAATGTTTATCTTTTTATTTCTATTCCTTGTCACATTTTTCAGTGGAAGAAAATATTCGAATGTCAGAGTTTCTGCAAAAACTTAGTCATCTAAAATTTGAGTTGGAAATAATCAGTATGGATGCATGGTTTATGTCCCTTTCAAACAAAATGTATATTTCTCATTGCTGGCCTGGGAGCAATGACTATTCAATAATGATGAGCAGATTGTAGTCTCTTACTATTTCTGGCTAAAAGGAATTGGGTTTCCAGTTCCTGATTGTGGATGGGGACAAAAGATGTACAAGTTGAACCTGGACTATCATATCAAAACAGAAGGTAGAAGCACTCCCAAATATTCCTGGCATCATGCCCAGAGTTGCAGGAGCCAACATGAAGAGGCCACTTTCACTGGCCGTAGATGGGGCGGTTTGCCTCAAAAAGGATTGGTATACACAATACATCAATTCTTGAATACATCATGATGCTGAAAACATGAAACAAAAGACTTGTTTGGTCATCTTTGGATGATGCCAGGACCCTAACTCATTATTCTGAAGAATTTGAAATTATGGTATCTCCGGACTCTTATTTTATTTTTGAGTTAGTCTCACTCTGTCACCCAGGCTAGAGTGCAGTGGCACGCTCACGGCCACCTCAGCCTCTACCTGCTGGGTTCAGGTGATTCATCTGCTTTGAAGAAAGCCCCAAGATTAAAAAGTGCAGGCGCAAAAGGTGTGTGTTTAGGGGTGGAAGGGGGCTGGGTGACACCAGTGTGGTGGAATTGTCCACCGCTGTGGTAAAATCAGCAGTAAGTGGGATGAGCTGATGAGGCACGAAGCCATCTGTGCAGAGAGGGAAGAGTTGAACATTTATTCTCTTTTGACTGACTATGCTTCCGGGTATCCAAATATTTGACAAGGAACAGTTGTTGTTTATGGAAGAACTCCAGCTAAAAGACACAGAAGACACGATAGGATGAGAAAATCGTGGTTTTCGACCTTAAATAAAATCATGGGCGTGGGCAGTGATCCCTGGTAGCTGCCAACACCACAGAAAGACAACCAGAGGTAACAGAGCTCCTGCAGAGAGACACAGCGCCCCCTGTGGGTCACGGCTGTCTCTCAAACACACAACGACAACAAGAATCACACTGTACCTTCAGATCTCACCACCGCTTCACGGGGTTCAAAGGGACATGTTGAACATTCTCACTGGGGTGTTACTCGCAAAATCCAGGCAGAGAAACCACAGGACAAATGACGGGGTTTTAGGTTTTTGTTTCCAAATAATTTGCAAGAAAAAGAGGGAAACGTTTAGGTTATAAGACGAGTCGTAATCAACCCACTGTAATGTGTGGCTCTTACATATTTACCGATTTGAACAAACCAGTTGTTAAGAAAAAAAAAATTCTTCAATTGGGGCATTCCAGTGCCGACTAGATATTTAATATTGAGTTTTGCTCATTTAAAAAGTTTTGTTTACCTGGACATCTGACAGTTTTTGTTTATAAATAAGTTACTAACAAGATTTTGTCTACTTTTTGAAAGTCAGTTTTAACAGATATTAATTTATAAATAAAAGCATAAGCATAAAGAATTAGGCCAGGAACGGTGGCTTATGCCTGTAATCCCAACACTTTGGGAGGTTGAGTTGGGAGATCACTTGAGCCCAAGAGTTCAAAACCAGCTTGGGCAACTTAGCAACACCCATATGCTACCCCCCCCAAAATACAATAAATTAGCTGGACATGGTGGCACATACCTGTAGTCCCAGCTACTTGAAAGATTGAGGCAAAAGAATCGCCTGAGCCCAGTAGGTTGAGGCTGTGGTAGCTGTGATCGGGCCACTGTAGCCTGGGCGACAGTGAGACCCTGACTGAAGTGGAGATTTGTTTTTGTAATGAATAATCATGAACTGATAAACTGGAAATTTGTATGTGCACACTTACCTGGGTACTTCTGGGAAAAATTTTTGGTCATACATATGTACCCCTAAAAACCAGGCCAGCAGGGATGAACAGGTTTTTTAAACACTGTGTTGCTAGTCTTTACTGTGACAGGTATTTGATTAAAACAGATTAGTACTTGCATATATGTAGCAAATGATTCTTACCTCCTTGGTTACCAAGTGTAAATATTTAAATACTGTGAGACACTTTCCTTTTAGCTGAAGCAGTTGTGAAATTTATGAATTAGAAATCTTTTGATTAAGGTATGTTTTGTAAGGCATTTATAGAAAAATGTAAAACATATACAAAAGCAGAGAAATAGCACCTGTCCCACAGGTTTTTTATTTTATTTTATTTTGCGTCAGAGTCTCACTCTGTTGCCCAGGCTGGAGTGCAGTGGCATGCTCTCGGCCACTGCAACTTCCACATGCTGGGCTCAGATAATCCCTCTGCCTTCCAAGTAGCTGGAACTACAGGCATGTACCACCATGCCTGGCTAATTTTTTGATTTATTGTAGAGATGAGGGCTTGCCAAGTTGCCCAGGCTGGTCTTGAACCCATGGACTCAGGTAGTCCTCTCACCTTGGCCTCCCAAAGTTCTGAGATTATAGGCATGAGCCACCATGCCCGGCCATGTCCCATAGCTTTAATAGTTACCCATGAGGTATTTTGCAACATATCCCAAACTAGCATTGTTAGCTGTACATCCAAGCTAGGTATTGTTTGGAATTTTTTTCTCTAAAATTGACATTCTCTTTCATCATCTCTAGAGTCTTTCCCCTAATGATTATGCTTTCTTTTGCTCTGTTATAAAAATAATGTAAAAGTGCTTCTCTTTTTTCTCCTCCATTTTATGATTGCAGATGGGGTGTACCTGAGTTTGGTGAATCAAGACTTTTTTGGGTGTTCTTGATGGTATCAGTGGCAGCTGTGGCATTTATTTGTTCTCATGGTTTTGGGGGAAGAACCAGGCTGTGAATCTAGACTAAACTGGTGTTTTGTGTGGTGCTTCGGAATTGTGGATTATTTGACCTGGAAGGAAAAGTTCACTATAGTTCTGACTTTAGAACTTAAGTAATTTAATTATTTCACTTGGGATGTCAAGCTCAGTTGCTAGTTTTTGTTTGTTTTTTTCTCTTTCCTTTTTTTTTTTTTGACTTAAAACAGCAAGGCCAGTTTGTTTTGTTTTTAATAGCTAGTTGGCTGTAAATCCTTTTTCTTCCTAAGAGGGTGATTGGTATGTGGCATCTATAGCATAATCTTACACAGTTAATATACAGTTGTGTTGTTTCTGTCCCTCCCTGTGTGTCTTCCTTTACACACATATATATACCTGGCGGGGGGCGGGTGAACTCCTTGACATCTGAAACCTGTGGATCTCTTCTTGTGTTTCAGGGTGTCTTAAAATGTGTACAATATATAGAATTAGAAAACCTATTATTGCAAAATGTAGTTAGCGAAACGTTCAGATGTACTTCTTAGCATAATAAGTAACAAGTTCTAGCAACACATCTGAATTTCAGTCATGAATACAGACGCTATTTAAAGATCCACAGGCTGGGTGCGGTTGCTCACGCCTGTAACCCCAGCACTTTGGGAGGCCAATGTGAGACGATTGCCTGAGCCCATGCGTTCGAGACTAGCTTGGGCAACTTGGCGAGACCGCATCTCTACAATAAATCAATAAATTAGCTGGGCATGGTGGCGCATACCTGTAGTTCCAGCTACTTGGAAGGCTGAGGCGGAAGGATCGCCTGAGCCCAGCAGGTTGAGGCTGTGGTGGCCGGGAACATACCACTGCCCTCCATTCTGGGCGACAGAGTGAGACTACAACTAAAAAAAAAAAAGATTTGCAACAGCCTCATGTGGTGGGATGGAAATATCTGATTTATACTGATGTCAAAATTACAAGTACTCCTCTTCTGTGGTTTGGTGCCGACATTGGTAATTGAAGGAATTATTAGGTTTCAGTGAGGGGATAGTGAAGGTTAAAATGTGATCTCCCTCTCTACCCCCATTTGCTTTTTCTGAATTCTGTCCATGAACTCCTTGGCTGACATCTCAGAGTAAGATAATCTGGACTATGGCTTTGTTTGCATCCTGGGATGCTTTCCTTGAGGCTAAAAGATTTGAATTTGGAACGTAGTCATCGGATGAAAAGTTTTTCAAATGTTTATCTGCCATTTTTAGTGACTTTTAAAATAAGTCACAACCATCCAATAATGCTGGATCTTCAGTGTTCTCAGTGTGCATCTTGTGGCTTTTGTTTCTTTGGTTGTTTTTTTTCCCCTTGAGCTGTATTTTTAAAAATTATATATTGTTTTGTAGTAAATATAAAAACTATTATTTTAAGTGACTTTTAAAGTTCTATGTTGGCTATTAATGTCTTGTTTTTATGTTTTTTTCTTTTAAAAAAATTTTAATTTTTCTGCAGGATTCGGAAACTTCAGATACGAAATATCCCGCCTCACTTACAGTGGGAGGTAAGAATTTCTATATTTAAAATTAAGATCTAAGTGTCGAAGCCTGTTGCTGTTAGTTTTTCCAAAGCCTTTTCTTCTACCCTTGAGTCTAGAACACAGAATCTTTCTCTTTTATGATCTGTGTCTTGGTGTGTGTTTTTCTTTGTAAAGAGACTGTATATCTTTCAAAAGTTTGCTCTTTGAGATAATAAACAAAAAATTGAAATATATTCTTGGGTATCTGGGTAATCTTCCTCATTTAGTTCTATCTGGACAAGATTTTGTTGATTTGAGTTCTTTCCTATGAGTTTGCCAATTGTATGTAAATGTGAAGTTCCCATCTTGGCAAATTTTTACAAGGACACATGCCTGCTATGTAAACTTTGTTTTAAAATTTTATTCTGCTGGGCGTGGTAGATCACCCCCATAATCCTAGTACTTTGGGTGGTTGAGGCTGAAGGATTGCTTAAGCCCAGGAGTTTGAGACCGTCCTGGGCAACATAGCGAGACCTCATCTCTACCAAAAGAAAAAAATTAGGCTTGGTGGTGCATGCCTGTAGTCCCAGCTACTTGGGAAGATAAGAGCTTCCAGGAGGTTGAGGCTGTGGTGAGCTGTGATCCAGCCACTGAACTACAGCCTGGGCAATGGAATAAGACTCTGACTCAAAATAAAACGAAATGCTATTCAACTTCCTTTTTCCTCAGATGGTGGCAATGTAGTGGTTGTGTATAAACACCAACTATTTAGGACAATTGAATAGCCTTTGTCAGCAATTAACAAAGCATAATGATGATGTCATGGTGAGAATTTGAGACACCAGTAGTTAAAGGGGTAAAAGAAAAAATGTCAGTCGACTCAACTAAACAGTGGAAGCTGAAAGTCCTAAAACTTGCCTTGGAAACATGATGTGGAGAAACTGCTCAGCTTATATGAATTTCTTTCTTTTTTTTTTGAATTGGGTTCTCACTCTGTCATCCAGACTGGAGTGCAGTGGCACACTCACTGCCACCCCAGCATCGACCTGTTGGGCTCAGGCAATCCTTCCGCCTCAATTTTCCGAGTACCAGAACTAGGGGCGTGCGCTGCCACGTCTCCCTAATTTTTAAAAATTTATTGTAGAGACGAGGCCTCGCAAAGTTGCCCAGGCTGGTCTCGAACCCGCGGGCTAAGGCAATCCATTCACTTCTGCCTCCCAAAGTGCTGGGATTACAGGCTGAGCCACCAAGCTCAGCCCTTATATGTATTTCTTTTTTTTTTTTTTTTTTTGAGTTGGAGTCTCACTCTGTTGCCCAGACTGGAGTGCAGTGGCTGCTCCC